GGGATCAAGGCTACATACGACAAGAAAGATGATACATTGGGTGTAGTCTATATTTGACCTCTTGTGGTTGGTCCTAAGTGGGTGATTTATAATGGAAATCCAGTTTCTATGACTGCCCTACTAAGAGGCTCTTCCAAATGCTTGATTAAAAATGATGATAAATGTAAGTCAGCTGTCCAAAAGGCAACGAGTATATTGCAGAGTTTCCTTATATCAGATTGTTACCCATATTCGAAACATCATTAATTGAGGTCCCAGGGAAGAGTTTGAGTCATATTATGAGGCAAGAATTGTTAGCAATTGGAAGATTGAGCAGTGGGTGATTGGGCAGATTGGTAAAACTCAATTCCAGCATGAACAAAGCTACCCAAGTGGTAATGATACTCTGAAAATAGGGGATCTATGGAGGCTTTTGCTAGAAGAAGGAAGGAGGAAGATTCAAGCATGGAAGATCTTTATCCAGCAACCAGTCAAGTACTACTGGGAGGGGAGAGGTGCAAGAATAAAGTGGAAGTGGAAGATCAGGGCTGATTCCTATCACCCACCTTGAGGACATGGTGGTTGTTTAGGGGGGGGAGTGTTGATAGGAACATAGACAATAATACTAATAAGAATATTAGAATAGTATTAAGGAGTGTAATAGTGTATAAGTGAAGATTCTGGACCATTTAGTAAATCAGAAATAATGGGCCTATTATTGTAGATAATAATAAGTGGGCTTGTACTATAAATAGAAAGGGAAGGTAGGCAAATGAGGAGGGAAGGATTCAGTTGGGAATAGACCGGGAGACTAGGCATCTCGAATCGTCCTGTGCCTTGTATGCGTTCCATACTTTTCTTCTTCATCAATAAACTTCCTATTGATCTTGCTTCTGGTTATCTTCTCATTGATTCTACTGTAATTTGAGTTGGATTTACCAGTGTTCTAGCAGAGAAATAAAGATTTGTATTCATTTTTTAATAAAAACAATTAATATTTATTTTTTAATAAATTTTGTATATTATTTTTTCTAACAATTAATAAAAATTGTTTGAATAACTGTTATATAATCAATTGTTAATAACAATAAACTATCATATATAATTGTTATATAATATAATCTAAAATAATTAATAGTTAATACGAGTAGTAATTTTTAACAAATTGTTTTCCAATAAACTGTCAATACTAATTCCTTAACAATCAATAGTAAATGTTTTAATAACTTTTATATAATAAATTATTCTAATTTTAAAATACTTCCTCATTTCTTTTTTAGTTACAACATTCTCATTTTCACGCTAGTCAACGCACAACTTTGACCGTTTTACATTAAACTCTCTCTTAGTAAATTTAAAAAAAATCAGATTATGAAATTAAAAGAAAGACAAAGTAGATTAATAAAAAAAATTATTTTTCAAAAAAAAATAATTCTAAAACATTAATAAATAAAATAAAATTAAGTCAAAGTAGAGCATGTGAGTTTAAAATTATCGATGATGCAACCTAAGTAGTTATATCGCTAGTAGTTATATCGCTAGTAGTTATATCGCTAGTAGTTATATCGCTATTCCGTAGCAACTCAGTCAAGGGCAGAGCAGCGAGTAGGACCGAGTACTCAGGATTACTCAGTGATTACTCCACCCTATATTAATTAATTTTAAAAAAAAAAAACTGAAATTATAGTAATATACTCCACCCTTATAATTCTTAGATATGAATAAAATAGAGGAGTTTAACTTACCGAGAGATGCATTGCTGGAATGAACTAATGTCTGAAATACTTTTAAATCTATATTTTTAAAATTAATATCCATTTTAAGAAAAATACCCACCATTATTTATAAATTCCATAATATCCCTCTTTAATTAAAACTTTTAAAATTTAACAAAAAAAAAATATTTTATGACTGGCCGAGTTAAAAAAATCCCGAGACAAGAAACTTGCAGAGTAACTCGGAAAAACATGGTCAGCCGAGTCAGGTTGCTAAACGAAACAGCCACTCCCCGAATTGCGAGTACTCGCCCGGTACTCACCGATAGGGCTGTTAACGAACCGAGCTTTTATCGAACTATTTGAGTTCGAGCTCGGTTTCGAACCTAACGAGCCGAGCTTAACGAGCTTTCGAACTCGAACCCGAGCAGAATTTTATGTTCGAAAAATTAATCGAGCCGAGCTCGAACATAGTAGTATTCGGCTCGGTTCGAACTCGAGCCTATCGAACACCCTTAAATTATAAAAATAATTTATATATATTCAAAATTTAAATATAATTAGTATAATTTTATGAATTTAAATATGATTATTAACGAACCGAATACTTTTCGAATCATTCGAGCACGAACCTATTAACGAGCATCACCTAAAATTTCAAAATCGAGCATATATAGAGCTTATCGAGCGCTCGACTCGAACATCGAACGTCTATCGAGCCGAACACGAGCTTCATTTGTAAAGCTCGCCGAGCTTCGAGCTCGAACCCGAACACCCCTAATTCCTTATCGAGCCGAACTCGAGCTTTCGGTGTTCGGGCTCGGTTCGACTCGTTAACAGCCCTACTCACCGAGATAGCACAGGTTGCAACTAAAAACAAATGAAGGATAATAGTAAGTTGTCATATGTAATTGTTATATACTCCCCCGATATCATAATGTGTATCAGTACGCTTTTCACAGAGTTTAAGATAAATTATAGGTTTATGTACACTTTTTAAAAAAGTAGGAGATTTTTTTGTATTGTTGTAGTACTGTATAATTTGTTAAAGTGTACTGTAGCTGCTTTTGGAGTGGATTTCTTAACAAAAATGGAAATATGACATATTTTGATACGGCCCAAAAAGGAATATGTGACACATACTATGATTCGGAGGGAGTAATAAACCTATAAACTACTAAACTTAGAAACTTATATAATATAATACATAACTAAATTACAAATTTTTGTTGAAGTATTAAATTACAAATTTAAACAATCTGATGGTACAATCCATCTTTATTATTATTTAAAATTGATAAACTTTCTCATTGAGATTAGGGTTTAGGGTGGATTGTTATATGGTTATATACTTAAATAATTTAAATTATTTTATACATGTAAAAAATTAAGATAAAAAGAGATCAAAGAGCATAAGAGATCCGGAAAGTAGATGAAAGATTTCCTTCCTAGAGGCGTTCGGCGCGCTACTGTTCTACGATCCGGAACACAGATCGTGGTTGTGCTGACAATTTATGTAACTGTGGTTAAAATTGTGAGACTATATAGCACGGAGACTTGACTAGGGTACCGTATCGGTGCATCGGAAACGTCCTCGTATTGGATACTCTAGGATACCCGTACAGTACGTATACCCGTACTCCGGACCACATAAATTTATTAAAAGGTTCCAACTTTTTGATACAACAACAAACAACATCCAAGCCTTATTCCCAAAATATTTTTGAATCAGCTAACATGAATCGATCCATGATATCGATCCAACTTTTTTGATAATTATTTTTAAAAATCGGATACGCGTATCCTGACGGATACACGTATCTACTTTTTTCTAGAGAAAACACCCAAAAATAAAATAATACAAGTCTTAAAAAAAATTATTAGAGTATTATTTTCTATCTTCATTGAGAAGCTTGTATCCAATAATTTTGAGTATTTGCACTTTTAATTTCAAAATTGTGGTTGTTTGACTTGTTTCTCATTTCAAATTAGTGACTTAATGATTGTATATACATCACATCTCCAAATGCACTAGTGAATACTATCCTCCATATCGTATTAGTTGCAACATTGAAATTTGTATTCTACTTTGACTACACTTTATTTATTAATGTAAGTGAATTGTTTTTTTGAAAAATATTGTTGAATTCGTCTCATTACAAAGGTTCATAATCTGATTTTTAATTTTTTTTATTAATAGATAATTAAATATAATGACGGTCAAAGTTGTGTGTTGGCAAGTGTGAAAAAGGAAATGTTACAACTAAAAAAGAACCGAGGAAGTATGAGATAAAGTACGAATTTATTTCTAATGAAATGGATCAATGCCATGAATGAGTAGGGGATAATATATGTATAAATTTTCAAAAAAAAAAATGTAATTTTTAATATTTATAAATACACTCACATAATTTGTTATATTTATAAATACACCCCCATAACTTTTAATATTTATAAATACATCCTGTATCCGTATCCTACTTTTTTCTGGTTTGTCATATCCCGTACGTGTTTCTGGTTTGTCATAGCTGTGAGATTTAAGTTTAAAGTGGTGAGATAAAATAAAATGGATGTGGCATTTTACTCATTTTAGTTGTGATTCGTAACTATTTCTCATCCTTTCTGTCAGGAAAAATCAAATTCTGTATCAGATTTCTTTTACTCGATTTTATCATTAATAACATTTAACAATCATGTGGTGAGATGAAAAGCTAATTAGAGCCTTAGAGACTTATTAATCATGGGATTGCACCAAAAAGATGTCCCTAACAGAGCCCTGATCAATACATGAAGCCAACTGCAGGCCCAGATTTTTTACTGGCGAGAAAGAACTGCTTCTAATGATAAAGTTGATTATCCTTTCTCTGCATTCAACTCTATCTAGGACACATCATTCCCCAGAACCTGATTTCTTGTCACAAGTCTACTTCCTCTAAAAAACCATAAAAACAAGCACATTAAAATGTCTTTAACAAATCTAGCTAAACATTCTGTAGTCTTTTCTTTACTTTGTTTTCCTTTTTTGCTTTGAAAGTTAGTAGGATATATCCGAAGTCTCAGAATTTCTTTGAAATTTGTAGCCCCAGAATTTCTCTGAATGGGTATGATACGATAATAAATAAAAAGAATTTACAGTCCTAGATAGACTTACTAGTCCACTCACAGTAAAAAGTTAAAGCATAGAGAACTCCAACAATTAACAAGCACTTGAAGCTTAAACCCTACCCGTCCCATACAGTACTCAAAATGATCAGAAGGGAAGAATCATATAAGTTCGACATAGAGATCATAGAGAGGAATATTTGCCTGCTTGATAATATTGAGGCGAAGATCATCGCTGAGAACAGCGGTGAAGGGGGGAACTTGATCGGATGGATGATGAGGATCCTCATGGAAGTCGGGGCGCTGACCATCATTTTCACCATAAGGCGGTGGAGATGAAGTGGTGGCAACGATGGTGCTGTTGGAGGTAATGGGGATTCCCATGCCCCCGGATCCGAGTCCGTATCCGGATAAGAGTTCGGGTTCCATTACCAGAGAGGAGAAGGGGTGGCTTTTATTATGTATGCTTCTGCTACCTTTCAGTCTTCATCCCCTTCCCCCTATCTCCCGTAACCGCTTGTCCGGTCAAATTTATACATCCTGATTGCTACTATCAGGTCCAATTTAGTCATTCCAATCGAGTAATTTTGTCTACTGTACAAAGAATGAAGTATAAGAAAAGAATGAGGTTATTAAAATACGGAGTATAATTTTACCCTTACAAAAAGGCACATGTCATTCTTTCCACGATTCACTCCTCTATCGTTTATTTAATTTTGATAAAGGATATCAAAATTCATACTCCCTCCGTCTCTTATAACTTTGCCAACTTTCCTTTTTTGTTTGTTCCAAAAACTTTGTCACTTTCTCTTTTAGTCAATAAATTTGTGGTTCCTGTTATTTCTCTCTCCTCTGCACAAATCTCTACCACACAGTTTTTACTTTATTATTCTACGTTCTGGTCAAATTTGGCAATCCTTTTAGGGACGGAGGGAGTATTATGTTTGAATAGTATGGACTTTATCCATATTACTCGACAATTGATAAAGTTCATCCTATTCAAATAGTTATATTTTAATTTTTTAGAACTCGACAAATATATGTTTAAGTAAATTGATAAATGATGTTGTATTCAAATTTTCGGAGTCTTGGTTATTTTTTATTTGAGAAGATTTACGTTCCCTGCAACTTATGAATTCCATATTTCTCTCTAATTACACCACCAAACATGATATATAGTTTTCTCTCTAGTGTTTTTAGATATAAGATAAACGGACTTATAATTGAGCAGAAGAATCTCCTCTCTTATATGTAGTGCTCTTAAGTATAAGATAATATAAGCGGACTAATATATATTTGAGTGAGAAAATTTTTCCTGTCTTACATAGTGCTTTTAGGTACAAAAAGATAAGCGGAATAATAGCTGAGTGGAAAAAAAATTTCTCCCACATGTAGTGATTTTAGGTATAAGACAAGCGGACTAGTAATTGAGCGGGAGAATTATCTCTCTCTCTTTTTTTTTAGCCTGGTGAGCAAATCACCAAAATTAGTGGGGTAATGTCGGAGAACATTTACCAGATATTATACAGCAAATGGAAAAAACTACATGTGGAGAAGGGGGACTATGCCAAAACCTCTCCTGAGAAAATAAACTTCTTACAAGAAGAGTATTTCAAATACTCCCTCCGGTTCTGAAAGATCTTTACACTTTCCATTTTTAGCAGTACCAGGAAGATCTTTACACTTCCTTATTTGCCTTATTTGGTAAATAAATCTACACAAAACAGTGTCAAACAGTGATAAACAATGTCAAACAGTGCAAAATAATATACTCTATAATAAAGTCAAATTTATTTCCTTAAAAACTGTGAAATCAAAGTGTCAAGATCTTATAGAATCGGAGGGAGTATTTTGTTACTCATATAAAAATATTTGGTACTGACCACATATCCAATTGCAGTGCACCCTTGAGTTCATTGGGCATAAAATCCCCAGCCCTCCATTTGAACTCCCGAAACAGGCCCATTTTCGCAATAAGCCTAGCTGCCTTATTATCCTCCTTTGGGATCAGCCCAACTTTAATATCCATATCTCTTCTATCCGCATAAAGAAGGCAACTCTTTTTAGTAGTCTCGCGTTGGGAAAAACCTCTGCCTTCTCTCTAGAAAAATTCGCACCTCCAACGGTCGGATTTCTCTAGTTTGCTCGAGACCAAAGATTGCTCTTTCACACAAATCTCTTCGATTAAATCCGGTTTTGATCCGTTTTCCTTGGTCGGAATTTCATCATCTTTAATATCTAACGATTGGATTTAAAGATTTGGAATTTTTTGGCCCCAAAACGAGCTCAAAACTGCTTCTGGTTCGCAGTTTTTACTGTTCACCTGCAGACTGGTTTTTGGAGCTTTAATCCATCTTTTGACGATTGTTTCTGGAAAAGGCCGCTTGTTTGGGGGTCGCCATTCCCTGGCGCACCTCCCAGTTCAAGTCCCGTTGATTTTCATCAAGTAAAACGCCAGAACCGAACTAGCCGTTGCAAAGGAGCACTGTACATCGCAGGCTGGTTTTTTGCAGATTTCTCTAAATCTGCTGAACCAATCCAAATTCTGAGGATACCCTGAGGATCGTCTGCTCAAAACGAAGAGATTGATACCTATTCCGGCGCCTACAACAAAGAATTCAAAAATCAGACCACTATTCATCCTACTGTTCCTTATGCGCAGGTATGATTAGTTAATTGATTTTTTTTCTTAAGTTTTGTAGGTCTGGGACGAAACAAAGTATACATTGGTGATCGCCAACTCAAGGAGAGGTGCTGGTATTTTTTTGGGATTTTTCTGACGAGTTTTTGAAGAGGAGTGTACTGTTCATCTTCTTCAACCTCAAGTCTGCAATGCTACAGTAACCGAACGAAGTCTGCTGCTTGTTAGAATTTTATTCGGACTGCTACAGTGCTCGGATCCAGGAAAAAATTGTACCATTGTGATCCCCTTATCCAGCAGCTTCTACTTGAATTTTTTCAGAATTTTCTGAGCACTTTGGTTTTTGGATGCTACTGTTCATCGTCTTCTTCGTTGAATATGACGAAAAAGAACAAACAACAGAGGACCCCACCAGCCAAAGACAAGCTGTTTGATGACAAGGTTAAAGATTTGTTGGCCAAAAAAGCAGCAATTGAGGCGGGGAAATTGAAAAAAAACGCAGTTATGAAGGAGGTCGTCCCTTCGTCTGACCCTATTTTTTCAAACTCCTCTGGAGCATTTGCCGCGGCACGAAGGCCAACTGTTTCTACTTTGGGTGTGACTTCCACCCTGGGGGTGACTCCCACTCAGCCCGCGGCCTCCGGGGACACAGGGGGGCATGAAGTTAATGCCGCGGCATCCGGGGCAACAGGAGGACATCAAGACTATAGCGGGGCATCCGGGGCTCCTGTGGGACAACAGGTTTATGCCGCGGCATCCGGGGCAACAGGAGGACAACACTATGCCGCGGCACCCGGGGTTTCAGGGGGACATCAACGTTATGCCGCGGCATCCACGAAGGGCATCGCATCAGGGGGGTCCTTTGCAGAGAAACTACTGGGGCAGGATTCCAGCTCCTCTAACGCCGCGGCATCTAATGAGCTGTCTTTGGCAATCAAAACCAAAATTGTAACGGCTGATCCCATTATTGAAAATTCTGATGAAAACAGCCCTATTGCACAAGAAGAACATGAGGGATCCATCTCCCTTGGGTCTCAAGACACAGAATCGCTTATTGATGGGGATGATTTTGAAAAAGAGCCGTTCACCTATGCTTCTCTATTCCGGGACAATAGAGCCCCCTCAAACGGCCTAAAGCTTGAATATTTCCCTCCCTCGGGGGAAAAACTAGATTTTTCTCATCTTGAGGTGCCCACCCTAATTGAGATATGGGGGTACTGTTTGGTGGGGCATTTCTCCGGCCGGTTTCCGGGTATGAAGGAGATTGTGATCTGGATTTCCTTGGAGATAATTGCTTGCAGGGTGATAGGGACTTGGTTTTCTGGGGGGAGGAAGTCTGATGTGAGGGGGTGTTGAAGATATTTTAATTGTGAATCAAGTTTGTCATAGATTAGCTTTATTATTATTCCTTGTGTTAAATAAGTGCATGTAATAGATAGAATATGGGCCAAGTGTTAGGCCCATACAAACAGGCTAAAAGCCTTTCACGCCTAACCTGAACCTCGCCTATAAAAGGGGAGCCGAGGGTTCAGGATTAGGTTAACTTTCGTACTTTTTCATTATAGCCTTAAGCGCATATCTTTCTGTGTACGAGTTCACGGTCTATCAAAGAGGGTTTTACATCGATTCATCTGTGTTCATATTTACGTTTAATCTTCTTTGTTAGACTGATATTCATTGCTGTTACAGAAACATGGACTATCAAATGGTATCAGAGCCGATCGAGAGCCGATCAGAAGAACGCCTGCAGAAGACTCTGTTTTTTTCTTTACGTTGTTCTTTCTGTCAATTTTTCACTCTGTAATCTTGTTTCTTGTTAAAAAGTTGTAAAAGTTACACCCTTAGAATCGTCGTTTCAAAGCGATCAAGGGGTATACTTCAGATTTCGTTTTTCGCAAATTTTGTACTTGAGATATTTTGAATAGGCTTGTCGACATCTAGGTTTTAAGCAGGTTCTGACAGGTATTTCGAGCTGAAAACTTTACCTGAGGATCTCGACATCCTACTCTACAAGAAACTACCTTCAGATCTTGCTTATCTGATTTTTACAGATTGCAGGATTTCGACATTGAGGATTTCGACATCTATATCTCGATATCAAAGATTTCGAGTTTAAGGTTTCGACATCTGGTCTCAACATTTGACTTCTCGAAACAAGATTTCGAGTTTAACTTCTCGACATCTCAAATCTCGAGATCCTCTTCTCGACATTTGAAATCTCGAGATCTTTAATCTCGACATCCTAATCTCGACATCAAATCTCGAAACCGGGCCTCCTTTATCGAAATCCCAGATCTCGATATTCAGATCTCAACATCTGATTTTTCGACATTCTGCCTCTGAAAATCTTTTGATCAATTATCTCGAACGGTCAGTTTTACACAGCAATGGCCTCAGAATTCAATGTGCAAGGGAACAGCAGTACTCCTCCCAGTCTCAGGAAAGGAGAATACCAAATGTGGAGGAATCGATTCCTTAATTTCCTTGAGCACAAAGAGAACTCCGCTGCGATGCTTGAATCGTTGCTTGAAGGACCAGCTGAACTCATGATTTCAGTTGGTGGTGATCCAGAAAACAACCCTCCTATTCTTCCAGAAATAAGAAGGAAAGTGGCATCTGAATATACGGAAGCTGACAGGCTCAGGCTTCGAGGGGATCTCATGGCCAAAACGTACCTCCTTCAAGCAATCCCTAACGAAGTATACGTTCTCATCGATAGCATGCAAACAACTAAGGAAATGTGGGATGAGATAGAGAAATTGCTCCAAGGCACAAGCATTAGCCTTAAAACCAAGAAGACAACAATTCTTATTGCTTATGACTTCTTCAAAGCAGGACCAGGAGAACCATTGAACAAGACTTACAACAGACTCGTCCAACTGGTCAATGAACTTAGAAAAATCAAAGTATTCAGGTCCAACTTGGAACTGAATATAAGATTTCTATCCAGCCTGCATCCTGCGTGGGAAAAGACAGTGAAGGATGTTATATCTCGCATTGACTTGGATGAAATTGACCTCTGCACTCTATATGAACATCTGAAGCAATTTGTCAATGAGGTTGCTTGTGCCGAGGATCATCACACCACAAATCCCCTAGCTCTTGTGGTGGAAGCTCAGCCCAGAAGGACAACCACACCACTGAAGAAGAAGAAGAAGGTGGTGGTTGAATCAGACGATGATGAAAGTGATGATGACAAATCTGATCTGGAGGCTGAGCTTGCAGACTTACAGAAGAAGATGGCACTGCTTGCCAAGAGATTTGCAAAAAAGAACAGCTCCTCCAACAAGCTGAGAACCTCCTCATCTAACTACAAACAGAAGAACCATGAACAAGGATCTTCTAGAAAGGCGCCATTAGCTGAAGATGCTCCAAAATGCTACAATTGTGGAAAGGCTGGACATGTCATCAAAGACTGCCGCCTCCCAAAGAAGAAGGATGCAAACTTCTACAAGCAGAAGATGCTGTGGAATAAGCAGAAAATGCTGATGGTGCAGAAAGAAGAAGAAACTTCTGCAATGATTGCTGAGAACGATAACTGGGCAGAAGATACTTCTGAAGAGGAGGAGGAAGAAGAAAACTATGCCCTGATGGCACGAGTGGAGGAAAAAGATGAAAGAAAGGGTGATGCTGCGATCCCCGAAAGTGAATGCTCAACAAGCTCTGTAAGTACCTCTCATACTCCTTTAAATAATCAAATTCAGTCCTTACTTGAGAAGGACAATCTAATTAAAGAACTAAAGGAGAGACTAGACAATAATCACAGGGTACTGAAACAGAATCTAGACCAAAAGTCTTCTCTAAGTGTTCAACTTGAAATTGCGAAAGATCAGGTCAAAAAGGTGTCCTCAGATTTTGAAAGCTTTGAACTTAAGATAGCTGAATTAACTAGGAAGTTTGAGGATAGTGAACGTGAAAAAAGCACAGCAAAGGCTGAATGTGATTTTTTGCATAATAAGAGAAGAACACTTTTAAACAAAATAAAAGAACTAGAGGATCTAGCTGCTAAAAGAGGTCAGTCTAAACAGACAATTTTTCTCAATCGAATAAAGGATGACCGATTTTACAATCCTAGAATAGGACTGGGCATAAAAAACCCATGTAATCTAAAGAAAGTTAACTGTCTTCAAATTTATAACAAAGATTACATGGGACTAGGGTTTGGTGAGAAAATGTATTTTCGAAGTGATGATGAAAACGCTGAAGCAGAAGAAGAAAAGAGAAAGAATCCTAAATCTGCGATTTCCTGTGATTATCCCTCTGTAAATGAAAAACAACTTTCACAAGAAAAATCTAGTTCCTGCTTTAGTGAATGTCTTGACCCTTATGCAAAAGATATTCCACACATAGGACATCCTCTAGACCCACCCCCAAGAGTAGGTATCTCTAAAACTGGAGAGGAACCTTGTATTTTTCCTATGGCTCAAAAACTCAAAAACCTCCAGAAAACTCTTGATAACGAGAGAGAGAGATTTGAAACTGAAAAGAGAGGTTTTGAAAGCAACTGACAGGAACTTCTTCAAAAGTTCAATGAATTAAGTGAGCAATATCATGCTAAAACAACCCCTTCTACTTCTAAGTCTGACAGTTCACACACCTCACCTGAGAAAACCAAGTTTTTAAAAGGTTCGTCCACTCATCTCTCTTCTCCTTTGTTTACAGGAAATGAAGTGAAGAAGGAAGGAGAAGAGAAGAGTGAGTGGAGGAAAAAGAGGAAGGAAATCGCAGAAGGCAAAAAGAAAGTTTTTGAGAATAGTGCCAGTCCTAGATCTAGTTCTATTTTTTATTCTAAAGTTAATTGTAATTCTGTCTCTGAGAAACAAACTTCTAGTAGTTCAGTCTTGAGTCCCAAGCTGAATATTTCTGAGACTTCTTCTAGACATCGTTCTATTCATAATTCAAGTTAGGGGTGGGCATAACGGTTCGGTTTGACCGAACCGAACCGTACCAAACCGAATTAAACCGAACCGAAACCGAACCATTTGTAATTTGGTTTGAGTTTGGTAGTATTCCTCCTAACCCGTATTAAACCGAACCAAACCGAACCGAAATCATAAAACCGAATAAAACCGAATAAAACCGAATAAAACCGAACTAATCTAAAAATGAAATAATTTCTTATTTTTTGAAAATAACAAATCAAAACCAACTTACACCAAACTAAACCAAACCAAAATATAAGATTTCTCTCATTAATTTGATTGATGTTAATCTTTTTGAAGCTTTAATTCTTTAATTTTAGTGTCCAGGACTAGAGTTTACTACAAGAGTTACATTCACAACTATAACAGTTATAGTGGTTTAAGTAGATAGTATTTAACTATAATTTATTATCTACTACTACTATATATTTGGTTCATTACTTACAAGCATCAGTTTTATTTTTGTTTCCGCTTTATATATAATTTGATTCATTCTTGTTGTTGTTGTTGCTTACAAATGTGTCATGCTTATATCTTTTTAGTTCATATGTGTTTTGTTACTGTTTGCAAATTTATATCTAACATTATATTTGGTTCATTACTATCGCTTCTTGGTTCATTATTTTGAGGTAATTGTTTTTTCCAATCCAAACCTTAATACTTTGGTAAACCGAACTCCAAACCGAACCGAACCATACCAAACCGAAACCAAACCGAAACTTAATCGGGTTGTATTTGGTACATTTTCTATCAAACCGATTAAACCGAACCGAAACCGAAGAAAACCGAACCGAAAACCGAAATGCCCACCCCTAATTATGGTCATTCAAGGAAACATCTTAATCGGCTTTCTAAAGAGGATATTTTTAAAACCAAACTTAAGAAACAACCATTCAATCACAAAGCTCATGGCTACTCTCCTCCCAAACCTAAAACTGAAAGGTGGGTCCCCAAGATAAGACCCACCAAAACTGAAACCGAAAGGTGGGTCCCCAAGATGAGACCTACCAAGCTTGAAACTGAGAGGTGGGTCCCCAAATTCAGACCCACCAAAACTAAACCTGAGAGGTGGGTCCCCAAGAACAGACCCACCAAGACTAAAACAGAAAGGTGGGTTCACAAAACCATACCCACCAAAATGGAAACTACTAAGTGGGATCCAAAAACCAGACCCACTGCCAAAGCAGATCTGGCTATTGGAGAGTCCACAAGAGAAAGATCGTTTGTTGAAAAAGCTGTTGACCTTGGATCACAGCTAAAAGCAAGATTTAGAAAGGTGTTTTTTGTTAATAAGGAAGGACCCACTCCAAGATGGGTACCTAAACCTGTTTGATTGTTTTGCAGGACGGTCATGTGTGGCACTTAGACTCAGGATGCTCAACCCACATGACCGGAATAAAACACCTATTGAGCAACTACACCAACTGTTACGGAGGCAATGTCAGATTCGGGAACGACGCCTCATCTCCTATTCTTGGGTATGGGGACGTCATCTGTGCCAGTGTCACTATAAAAGACGTTTCATTTGTCAAAGGGCTCAAACACAACTTACTGAGCATAGGGCAATT